ACTTTTAGTCACTTTATTACTTGACGACAGCGTATACTTGCGTGTGCGTTTGGCTGCAACAAGTTTTTGGCGCCGTTGCCGGGGACATAGAAATTAGCTATTTTTCTAGATTAGACATTTTTTTTATCTATTCATTTTTTTTTTAGTTTAGTTAGTATTTGTTATTTATTTTAACATGGCATCTTAGAATGAAAATTATTCGAATGATGGTTNGAGATCGTTTGGATGAGTTTCTGTGCTATTTTAGCTTAGTTGTAGTACTCATTCTTAAGTGTAGTAGCTTTTGTGAAAAAACAAAAAAAAAAAAAAAAGTAGAAAAATTGGACTTTTCCCGAGGATTGATCTCCTAGACAGTTTTCTTGAGGGATTAAAGTCTAAACAAAAATCCAAAAATATGTCTTTTAGCTTTCTTTAGGTAGTAATAATCCCCTATGGTTTTTCTTTGTGCCTTGGTTCTTTTCCATGGGATGTAGTTTGAACCGGGTAATTTGTTTTCCTTTTAGAGTAGATTAGAGTTTAGGAAATAAATGGAAGAAGAAATATAAGATTTCCAGGGGCCCTTGACTTGTTTCATAGTAGCATATTTATGCTTTGGCATGTGTAGTATCTCCCCTATATTTTGATATTAATCTTGATGCCTTTATATATTGGATAGCATGTTTTGTGACGACTATTTCTCGTTTTCTTGACTTATGTTCACCTTGTGCTTAATGCTTAATATCTCGTGGCTCCGTGAATATTTGCATCTTTTGAGAGTCGGAATGTGACCGTCCTTAGTGAGTCATGTGCCATGTGTGGTGAGGTTTTTGTGTAGTCCATGTATTGTACTTGTGTCTAGAACTTGCCCGGTATGTAAGTTGAAGCGAAATTTTAGGTGATGCTCGGTTTGAGAATTGATTTTAGGCTTTCTTTGATATTTTTGAGCTTAATTGCTTATCACAAATAAAATATATCCCTAGTTAACCCTTTTGAGCCTGTAGACCTGTTATTTGGTACCCACATTACAAGTCTATACCCTTTTTGTTCTTAATTGATATTGTTTTGATCCTTTTACCTCTTAAAGCACTTTAATTGTTAGATGAGCGCTAAAAGAAGTAAGAAGGAACTAAGTGTGGGGTGACTTTTGAGTGGAACCAATGAAAGAAAGAAGGGTGCACTTATTTTGTAAAATAATACACCACTAGCGGAAATTGAAAAAGAAAAAAAAAGAAGAGAAAAATCTGGAAAAAAAGAAAGAAAAATATAGATGAATAAATTGTTGTCTTGTTCTTGTTAGTGGGTATGAACTAAAGTAGTGCTTAAAGAAA